CTCATCACTGGAGCCGGTTTTGGATGCCTCAGACGCCTCGCTCCATCTCCCACTGAAACCCCTTCCCTCTCATTCCTGGTCAGAGTAGGCGGCTAAGCTGACCAGGCCGCCCCTGGCGTGGTGGGTGGGTGGGGAGCCCTGATGGGCCCCCCCGGGGGCCCACCTCCACTCCTCCCCCCCAGCCTGGCCCTGCCCCCTGCTCCTGGGTCGACTCTGCTCTTCTTTCTGGGGTCTCTGCACAAGCACTCCCCTCTCTGAGCATCCTTCTGAACTGAAACAGGGCCTGAGACTTTCAGGGAACGCCCACCACCCCAGGTCCCTGAAGTGTGTGACTGCAGAGGCCAGCCCGGCTCGGCTGGAAGGCGTGGACCGGCCCCTATGTTTCCTCAGTGGTTCTCAGAGGGCAGACTTGGCGCCTGCGCACAAGACCTGGACTCCTTGCTGGGAGTCTGGTGGGGAGCCTCTGCTACACGTGGCTGAGGCCCCACTATCACTATCACCCGGCTGCTTACCCTGTGCACCCCGGTAGTAGGCAGATGCGATGCACTTGAACTTCTCCTGCCCTGCTGTGTCCCAGCTGTGTGATGGCAGAGAGAGGGAAATGGAGAGGTGGCAGATTAAGTGATGGATCATGATGTCCTGGATGGGAAACCCAAGGGCCCCCACCAGCCTCATGGGCTTTGGAAGTGCCTGCTGCCAGCCGGGTGTCTCCACACCCAACTCCTTATGTCCTCTTCCTAGGGTGCCCCGTGGGGGATCCCGCTCACTTGGATGCATTGTGCCTGGGTTGGGGAGAGGGGGGCATGGCCTTAGCAGTTCCACTGCCCTGATGAGTGGAGTTGTAGCTCAGTGCCTTCTGACCCTGCCATGAAAAAGATAACACGCTCCGATGTGGCTCACTCCCAAGATGTGGAAGCCCACCTGTAGAGGAAGCCCCATGAATGGGTCTGGGGCTACTGGCTGGGCCACCAGCTGTGTCTCTGCTGTTTGCTCAGATGTAACTGCGGTGTGGCTCCACCTCCCGCACAGCAGTGGGGGGTGGGCGAGGGGGATGTGAAAGTGAGGGATGCTCAGCTCCCCAGGTTGGGGTGGGGTGTCTAACAGGGACATGGTTTGCGTCTCTGATCAGTTAGCTCTGGCTCTCTGGAGGAGCTGAATCCTGGCTCTACGGTAAAGAACACAGCAATCGATTAATGATGTCTGCCATGAGCACAGTACAGGAGAGAGAGACACACCATGCTGAAATCTACTTGCCCTGGTTTAGAACCAGGCAGGTCAAAATGCAAGGCCGAGTCTGAAAATCCATCCATTTTAAAAATCAATACATCAAAATCTAACTTTTCTCAGTAAACTAACAAGCTGACAAACCACAAGACACCAATGGTCTGAAGTGTTTTCCAGTGATTGAGCACGCTGCAGAACTTCTGGATGCTTTCATTAATTCACTTCTGAAAATGACTCTGGGTGGGAACTGGGAGGGTGGCTGGCAATGGCCTCAGCACAGGACAATGAGAGGCCATCCCTGCTTTGTCCTGGGCCCTCAAATTAGACGTGGCCTGTGAGCATAATGGTGAGTGCAGCCCAGGCCTCTCTCTGCTTGGCTCCACTGAAGCTCCCCTGTCAGTCTCCCGGCTCCTCATCCCCTCGGTCCTGTAGCCCTGTGTCTATATAGCCTCCTCTGCTCGGGTCTGACCCTGGACTTCCCCTTGGGTGAGGTTCGGGGGTATCACCTGCTCCAGGACTGCACTGGGGCTGGTCCCAGAGGAGCGGGCACTGTCTCAACAGTTTAGGAGGGGGAGTGAGCCAGGAGGGGTGAGCTCCATCCTGATGACAGGAAGGGCAGGGAGGATTGAGGAGTGACTCTAGGGAGCAGGGGTGAACCCCAGGGAGACAGAAATGAGGAGGGGAGCAGACAGAGGCCTGGGGAATGCCAGCAGGGAAGCCATGCAGGAGAGGGCAGGGCCAAAGACCAGGCGCCAGAGGAGAGGGAGGGCAGGGTCCCAAAGGTTCTGATGGGAAAGTATGAGCCTTGAGGGAGACTCTGGGCTGTCCTGAGGGAAACTGGAGTGGAGGGATCGAGGCCAGGGGGCCACTGAGGGCAGGGGTGGCTGAGCATATCAGGCTGTGAGGTCTGAGGGAGCGCCCAGGGCCTCAGGGAGGCAGGAAGCCCAGTTTCATGCAACTGCCCAGGCCTCTTGTCCCGACGGGTCCTCCTGAGTGCACAGGGCACAGTCAAGAAGGCACTGTGGACTTCCCTAGGGGTCTCTGCGAAGCCCCGTGACTGCGCAGAAAACAGCACAATCTGACAGTGACTTACATCTGGAGGCTGTAGGGGATCCCAGCAACCTCAAAGCGCTCGATCTCAAAGTCCACCCCAATGGTGGCCTTGTAGTTACGGTCGAAGACGTTCCTGCAGAACCTGTGGGGGCCGAGGGAGTGGCCAGAGGTGTAAGCAGAGGCTTCACGCCTGACAGTAAAAGTCTGGAGGTGACAGAATGGCCACCCGTGGGGAGGATCAGGCAGTGATGGCCAGAGAGACAGACCATGGGCAGACGGAGCCAAGAGGAACTATGTGGGGAGAAGCTGCAGGTCAGACGCTGCATCCATGAGCAGGGAGGTGACCCCAGGGACAGTGTAACCATCGCCAGGCTCCTGGGATGCCCCACTCTCTGCCCGACCCACTATCTCCCCAGTTTCCTGCACCTCCTCCCAGTGGCCACACTGTCCCCACTACGACAGGCATCTGGGCCTCCAGGCAGGTGTGAGGAGCGGGTGCGGGGACGCGTGGCCGGTAGGCACACCTGCGGATGAGGCTGGTCTTGCCCACGTAGAGATCGCCGACCACAACCACCTTGGAGAGTCTGAGCCTGCGAGGAACATGAGTGTTGCTCTCAAGCACGGTCTTGGGACCATCGTCCTGCACGTGGGTCCTTCCTTCCCTGTGATGGGTCACCTGTGACGCTCTGGGACTTCTGCTCCCATCACTCGCCCTCAGGCCGAAAGGCAGAAGGGCCTGCATTTGTCCCAGGGACTCTGCTGTCCCTGGGGCTGTACTCCTGACCCCACTGGGCCCCCGTCCCTGTTGTGAAAATCAGAAATGGGCACCGCGAGAGGCGGAGTCTTGGGCTGTGGGAGCAGTGGGAAGAGCCCTGGGTGGCCTGCATCCAAGCTGGGGGCGCAGGCAGGGAGCTGGAGCGCAGGAGACGCAGGCCTGGGGGCAGGGCCTGGGGCCGTGTGCCTGCAGGGGCTCTCGCTGGACACCCTGACCAGGACACCACTGTCACCTGCTCTCTTAGAGGGTCTGCAAAGGCCCAGCAGGCCAGGGGCGCATTGTGGACAGGACCCAGCACTGCTTGCCTGGGTTGCAGCCCGAGGCAAAGCAACTCTGAGGCCTACAGTGGGGGACCCTCCCTCTACCCTCTGGGACCAGCTGCCCCCTCACTCCGTGTGTGTCCTGCACCCCCAGCAGCAACATTCCTGGGACTGTGGGTAACACTTAAAATGTTTCTGCAGCTGGTGCCAAAACCACTAACCTCTGCCTGTAGACAGCAAGAGGGCACCTCTGCGTCACCTGGAGACCTGGTGCAGTTCCCCGGCCACGTCTGCGAGGGCAGGGGCTGTGCCTACACTAGTGCCGGAGCAGGTGGCGCTGACTCCGGGTGAGGGGTGAGAGCTCGTGGGGAGCCCAGGTGTGCACACACAGCCTGGGGAGATCAGTGCATGGAACACAGGAGGCCCCAGGAGGCTGTGGGGACTCAGAGAAGATCTCAGGGACCTGACACTTGTGCTGAGCCCTGAAGGGGAGGAAAGGCGTTCCAGACAGAGGGAACAGCAGTGCGCTAAGACCCCAGGTGCACGTCTCACTGAGTAGGAGCGCCCCTCCCGACGGCAGAAGACTAGCGGGTAAAGCCAGATGAAGTCCAGATGGCCCGTCTGGGGTGTCTGTCTAGGGCGCACCCGTGTGGTCTGTGCACCGGTCTCATTCCCACGTGCTCTCACTCCTCCCCACCCTCTGACGGGGGCGCTCACCCGACGGTCCCTGTGCTCCTGCGCTGGCAGGCGATGCTGACCTGCCCGTGGAAGTGCTCCCTGAGCTGCAGGCAGGCGGCGGGCGTGTAGCACTGGAAAGAGAGAGAGAGACAGACAGACAGACGGGTGGGCACATGGCCCTGTGAAGCTGCGGCTCCCTCACTGAGCAGGGCAGCAGGTGGTGACTTACTTCCCAGCATTCCCTGGTCCCTCTGTCACATCCACCCTCCACCGTGTCAGGACCTCGTGAGACTCCAGAGTCTTGTGAGCCCTGAGCAGGAGGAGCAGGGCCAGGATGGACCAGGGAGCCCAGGCGGGAACCCAGTGGCCTGTGACTCCTGACTACCTATGGAAACAGGACTGATGCCCCAGGCTGCTTCCCAGGGTTGGGGAAAGTCGAGTTGCCCACAGTCAGGATAAGTCTGGGCTCCCCTGAGTCTAGCTGTGTGACTTTGGACAGCCGTCCTGACCTCTCTGAGCCTAGCTGTCCTGCTTTATAAATGAGGTCCTTCACCCCAAGAGGCCTGGGCTGTTTGGGGCTGATGACACGTTCCTTCCTTTGACTCTTTAACACCCATCTCTGTCATCCCCGGTCACCACTGTCAAGCTCTGTAGGGAAGCAGCTGCTGGGGCCTCTGATGAGATGGAAAATCCTGCAGGGAGCTGTCCATAAGTCTGGGGCACCGAGGTGTATGTGCAGAAAGAACTTGGCCAGAAGGCAGGAAAAGGGGAGGAGGAACCATTGCAGACCCTAGAAGAGACCCAGAACCTCCCTTCCTCACTCCCCCGCCACAGCCCTGGGCACAAGTTTTAAGACTCAAGAGAGGACTTCTTCCCCCTAAACATGGAGGCAACCACTTGTGACAGGTTGGGACCTGGGACCCTGGGACGCAGCGCCTGCACCTGGACAAACGTCTCCTCCAGCAACAGAACACAAAGAAACTATAAGGGACAAGAAATAACTACACACGTGCACAGTTGGGGCAAATTATGAACAATAACATACAAAAAGACCAAAAATCCAACTGCCACTTTTGAAATGTCAGGAGCAGAAGCAGGTCCTGCCCATGATCCCTGCACAAAGCCCACCAAGGGGGTGGACCGACCACCTAACGCTGCCACGTGGCTGGACCATTGATCCACCCCTACCCTCACCGCATTTAAGGGGCCAGTTCCACCCCCCAACCTCGGGGAGCGAGCAAGGGCACCTGTTACTTGTTTTCACTCCCTCGTGCTGCAGTCCCAGTAAAGCTTTGCCTGAATTTCTTGTCTGGTCTGTTATCAGCTTCTGTTGATTAAGGATTTCAAGAACCCTAGCCAGTAACATACTGAGAGCAGGCTCTCAAGTGCCCTTCCGAAGAGATTTTCTGCTCACTTAAGCAGACATACGCATTTCTTTTCTCCTGCTCCCTCTCTCACACATAGTGCTTGACAACTTACTTGGACTCTCATGGCACATCAGCCCCTGACAGGCGCTCATTCATCCCCAGGTTTGTGTCAGGAAGCAGCACTTGGCTAAGTGGCCTCCTCTCCGAGGACAGTATGTTGTGTCTGATCTCCTGCTTTACAAACTGCTGCAGTGCCAGGCCCTGAGTGGCTGGACAGGAGGGTAAGCAGGGGCATCAGCTCTGTTGAGAGACACTGTCCTACTGCCCCCTACCGAGGTTGTACTGATTTGCATTCCCTGCTGTGATTAATACTGGATTTGAATACAGATGGAAGAGAGCTGTGAGTTTCCAGCAGGTACAGAAGGCAGAATGGTGAGAGGGGAGAACCTTGGATTTGGTATCAGGAAACTGAGTGCTGTTTGATTATGTAACAATCATAATGAGAAAAACAGTGACCAAAACTTGGGCAAGAGAGCTCCCATTTACCATAAGCCAGGCAACCAACATGAGAGAAATGAGCCTTGGGTATCAGGGGCTCAGAGAGGTTGAGTAACTTGCCCACGGTCACACAGCTTAATGGAGTCAGAATTCACACCCAGGACTGTCTGACTGCAAAGTCTGTGCCCTTCACCTCCAAACATTACTGCCTCCTGGCATCACCCTCAACTTGCTGGCCCACCTCGGGAAGACCAATATCAAGTCTCCTGGCTTCTCAAGAAGTCTGTCAACAGATGACTGGATAAAGAAACTGTGATATATATACAATGGAATACTACTCAGCCACAAAAAATAATAAAAATAATGCCATTTGCAGCAAAATGGATGGACCTGGAGATCGTCATTCTAAGTGAAGTAAGCCAGAAAGAGAAAGAAAAATGCCATATGAATCACTTATATGTAGAATCTTAAAAAAAAGACTCAAGTGAACTACTTATTATTTATAACTTAGATGACTGATTTCTTGAATATGTTTAAGCACATTTGACTGTCCTTTATGATTGGATTATGGCATTCTGTTGATCCTTATTTTGTGGTTGGCTTTATTCCTTTGGTAACTATGTAAGCTTAAAAAGCTAAAGCTCTAAACTGTTCTTAGAAACAATGAACAGTACTTATATGTAAATTAAAAAAAAAAAAGTCTGCTAAATTCCTGGAGTCTGGGGTCTGCCAGCCGGGACTGATGGCCCCGATTCACCTGCTTTGCTTCTGGTGGTGAATGCGGTGGGGAAAGCTGGATGCAGACATGGTGTCCCGAAAGCAGTGCACACAAAAAAGGCTGGCCTAGTGCCTCTGTACCTTAGGGAAGCTGGTAATGACGCGGTCCTGGCTCACAGGGGGCCCCAAAGGCACCAGTGAAGACCTCATCCTTCCAGAAGTCCTGTGGACCCAATTAAGGGAAAGAGAGTTAAGGAGCTGAGAAAAATCCTTGGGGCCTCACCCAAAGTCTATGCATAACATTGTAGTAGCTTTAAAAGCAGGTCGAAGCCTCCTCTAAAAGGAATATGGGCCAGGGGTCACATTTTCACTCTGCAGGAAGCGTGGTGGTGGGTGCGGGGACCAGGCCTGCCGCCCTGTCTGGGAGTGAAGACGGGGGTCTCCTGCCAGGTGTCCAGCCAGGATGGCCCCTCCCTGAGCTCAGCACTGGGCTGTGAGTGAGGAAGTAGGGGTCCCCTGCTCTTGGTCTATAAGAGGTGAAGCCTCTGCGCGGGTCTGGCCTTAGGGTTCAGCCCACAGGCCTTTCCCGGAACCATCCTACCCGTTGCCAAGCCCTCCCGCCTGTCCACAGCCCCGCGTCTCCTTCTCCCGCTGGGGCCTTGACCGAGGCCTGCTGACCTCCCCAACGGACGGGCGGCTCCCCCGACCAGTACTGAGGGCCTAGGGTGGGCGCTCAGGAAGTGAGGACGCCCAGGACCGGAGGCCGCATTCGGGTTGTGCGGTGGCAGGCGGGTGGGGAATCACGCGGGCGGACCAGGGTGGGACGAGAGGGCGGCGGACTCACCCGCAGCGGCTGCGGAGGCTCCAGGTACTGCGTCCTCCCGTGGCCCCGCGGCGCGATCACCATGGCAACGAGCACAACGCGGGACCGACGGGCACCTGACGTATCCGGGACGTCGGGGGCGGGGTTTGGAGGGGCTCACAG